TCATAACTAGATTAGTTACTATTATAATTAGACTGCGAATTATTATGTCAATTCATATTTTTATAAACATAAATAAAGAAGTGAAACTTAGGCTTAAGATTTGTTTCATCTATTAAATATTATAACAAACACTGTGTATTTTCGAGATTTTACGTGTATATTTTTACATTTTATGCGAAGTACGTGTATTTTTGCATTTTCAAATTTTTTAATGAATAAAAATTGCACAACTCAGTTATTTAAGTATCGGGGGAACTTATTCTTTGTTGTGATACATCATTATTCAGATCGTATGTGCCGCATAGTCAATAGCACGTTCCAATGTACCAATTAATAGAAGATTCAACTTGAATAGACAATGAATGCTGCAAAACTTTAAATATACATATAGAATTCTTAGCATTCTATACAAATAAAACATTAAAAATCATTCATGCATGCTAAGAAGTTTTTCAATTTAAAAGAAGAAATAATAATAAATACTAAAATGATTGAATGTTAAAATTATCAAAGAGAGTTTTAGTCTTAATTTCAATTCTATTAATCATTCAAACTTGTTACAGAAACTAATAACACAATGGACATTTTTATTTTATTAGTGGGAGCATACATCGGGTGAGGCGTGGATATACCTTGTCATTTTGGCCAGTCTTTACATTCTGTATATCTTAAGAAGTTACATTAGAAGTGTCATCCATGTTTCTCGGCTAAATGGCCCGAAAACTGTACCCTTCATTGGAAACGCAAACTATACACTCAAGAAAAATTGTAAGTAATTAATATTAAAAAAATTTGAGCAAACTTTTAGATAAATTTTGATAAATTAACGTATGAAATAAATTTATTACATAAATAAATCAAGTATCGGATTTACTAGTACAGATCGCCATTGAATTTTGATTGTTTTAAATTTTAATTTTTGTTAAAATTATTATATGATTTTCAGTCCTTTATAGATTGGCACATGAAAATCAAGATTATGGACGTATTATCGGAGTTTGGTTGACAATATTGCCATACGTAATGTTCCTGGAGCCAGAAGACATCCAATTGGTACTCAATAGTACGAAGCATACGCACAAGGTGTTTTTCTACAAATTGCTGGATAATTTTCTTGGAAAAGGTTTGATTACACGAGACACAGAAACCTGGCGAGTTCACCGAAGAATTTTACAACCCGCTTTCCATCTTCATATTCTGGAGAAATTCACGAGTACTTTCGCGGAACACGCAGATCACCTGATGGAAGAGTTTCTTAAAAAGAACAACCAAGAAATCAATATTACTCCTTTCATTAATGATTCAGTTTATAACATTTTGAGTGGTAAGTAAAATATTACAATATTTATCAATGAAGCATCAAGGAGAAATTGACATATGAATTAGCTTCTTCCATAAATTTTAAAAATATTTCTTTTTTTAAAGTGTTTTTTGTTATAAATTTTAATAATGATTGATAATTGTTCTTTACAAATATCACACTGCTTTATCATATTCCAATAGAATATTTGTATATAGTAAATTATAATATTTATAATATATATATAATATTTATGATAAATTATTTCTTATTCAAATATTATTCACGATTGTCAATCTTTTGCCACAATTTATGTTCTTTGCCAATAATTATATAGAAACACGAAATTTATATTTCGAAGAAGTAATATTTCATGAAGTTATCTATCGGCCATGTTTTACTTAATTTGCATAATGCACGCAAATGCATTTCGCATATGGATATGAAAGTCAACAAATTTGTCTTTTTATCGAAGAATATTGTAAAATACTGCGAATAATTCAGATTGTCAGTTTACGTAATAATATGTTTACGTAAATTATATTTATAAATTCCATCTTTATTATACGTGGTTGATCATTCTTTCATCGATAATAAACTTAATAAGCATTAAATTTTTAATAAGCATTTTGAAATCGAAAAATCATTAATATTTTTGAATGTTTATTTTAAATATTTGATATCTTGAATGTAGAAAATATTTCTGTTCTTTTAACAGAAAAAGTCTATTAGAATAAAACTTTTTTTTTTTTAATATTGTACATATTTTTATTTTAAAATGGTATTTGTAAAATATTGTGTACACACACACACACACTGTTAAGAAGTTTGTTGTTTAATAAACTTCTTATTTTTTGTGTTAACTTATTATTTGTGTTTAACAAACTTATTATTTAATATGAAAACAAAACTAAAGCATCCAATGTCTGCTAACATTCTCGATATCAATTAGCATTTGAAATAGCATTGAATTAGCGTTTAAAATTAACCTATGTTAAATGAACAAATGACTCATAAATTTTCGTTGAAAGAACTGTTTACTGTTGTACGAAAATTTTACACGTGTATTTTGAATATTGCGTTCTCATTTCTCGGAATCAGCTTGTAATATTTAATAAAGTAATTATCAACTGTTTGCAGAAACAGTTTTGGGAATAAACCAAACGGATCGAAGGACCAATGGAATGATTGATGATTTACCTTTTCGAAAGTGAGAATTGGGAAACATTTTCATATCTTTTTCTTTTGTTGCATTAACGATGCTAAAAGTAGCACATGATGGTATATCTGTTTCAGAGGACAAATTATGCTTTTATACCGAATGGTGAGGCCTTGGCTATTAATCGAATGGATTTACCGATTAACGAAACATGGTAGAAAAGAAGAGAAACAACGGAAGGATTTATTCGATACTTGTTTTAAAATGATGGAAGAAAAGCGCAAGCTTTTACGAAATGATACACCTGCGCCTGATCATGAAATAAAAAAGAAAAGAAAGATGTCTCTGCTGGAATACATGGTGGAAATGAAGGAAAAAAATCCTTGCTTTTCCGATGAAGATATTGTCGAGGAGTGTTGCACGTTCATGTTAGCTGGACAGGATTCGGTTGGTACTGCAACTGCGATGACGCTTTTCCTTTTGGCCAACAATCCTGAATGGCAGAATAAATGCATAGATGAAATCGACCAAATTTTCAATGGAAATTCGAGATTGCCTACAATGTACGATCTGAAAGAAATGAGATGTTTAGAGATGTGCATCAAAGAATCATTGAGACTGTATCCCAGTGTACCGATAATAGCGAGAACACTAGGTGAAGATGTAAAAATCGGTATGACTTGATCGTTTTGTTTTATATATAAAATTACGTAGTTTCTTAGAAAGTTACTTATAATCCAAAATAGATGATATTCTCATATTTTGTAAAATTTAATAATGACAAGCTTCGAATTTTATGCTTCAAGTAAAATTAAAACTTCTAACTCAATTATTCGATTCATCATTTTATCTTGCGAGCTCTTTTCTTTCAGAAAGCTTATTGCTTATTCAATTATTGCTGATATATAAAATTAAGATATATAGAATTAATTTACAACTATTATATAAATAATATATATTTTAGGAAAGCATGTGATACCAGCTGGTTGTAGCGTGCTAATATGCCCATACAGCACTCACCGTTTGCCGCAATATTTTCCAGACCCTGAAGCATTTAAACCAGAGCGTTTTAATGCAGAAAATTCTGAAAAAAGACATCCTTATGCTTATATACCATTTAGCGCCGGTCCGAGAAATTGCATCGGTATGAAACGATTTTTTAAAAATGACATTGTAAATTTTAATACTTTTTATTAAATCATTTAATCATTTGTTGGACTTTTATTCAGGTAATAAGTTTGCAATGCTCGAAATGAAATGCATGATTAGTGCAATTCTTAGAAGATGCCGATTACAATCGATCCCTGGAAAAGAAGAAGTGCGACCTAAATTTAGGATGACAATCAGAGCACAAGGAGGACTTTGGGTAAAAGTTGTTGCACGTGATCAAACATCAAAAAGTACTGCTACATAAGTGTAAATTATTGTTTAAATATATTTGATTGTTTAATGATCTGTTTATCATTTAAAATGAACTTTGAGTTTTGAATAACTTGATGTAAATAATATTGTATAAAAATTATTCCTTTATCTTTAATATAAATATAAATATCTATTTTGTCTAGATATACTTTGAATAAAAATTTAAATTTTCTTGTGGATATGTAGGACTGAGAGGTAGAGAGATAAACGTATGTTAAAATGTTACTAACAAAAAATGTTTAATATTGAAATAAGTGTGTGCATATATGCTTTTGCATAGTATGGTACTCCTGAAGCTACTTCATTGTTGCACTTACACATTTATATATGCAGATACATGATGTATGACGTGGCTTTGGAAGGAACTATCAAAGTACAAAACTTGCAATTTTTAATTACACTTGTATAAACGTGATCAAGCAATATTGTATAGTTGAATTAATTGCAACAATTAATTAAACAATAATTTTTATAAAATAATTGTGAAACATGGTTTACGTATCAAATGGTAATAAAACTAACCTTAGTGAAATTTGTATATAATATAATGTATAATATTGTATATGTAATTAAAGCATTTGTTTTACATATAATCATAATTAATAAATTTTTAGATGGAAGTGTCTTATGTAATACTCCGTTATATTTAAAAGTGTTTAGGTTCTTCACAGGTATAATTTTCATGGTTATAATGTTGTAAGTAACCTATAATGTTTTCTATTATTATTAAATTATTATCATTAAATTAATAAACAAGGAGATATAACTGAATGAATCATTTTTATAGTTTTAAAACATTGATCAATCCTAGCATGAATAAATATGGAAGTGAATATACAAGAGATTATAGACCTGGATCTGGGTAAAATTTATTGTGATTTTTTAATACAATTGTAATTTACATTTTTGAAATAATACTAATACTGATACTATGTGTTTATATATAGGCCACCACGTCCACCAATGCGTAGATTAGGAAGACCTAACGTAGGAGATACTATTAATATTTCATTTGGAGGATGTAGTAGTTGTGCTAGGTAAAATAAAATTTAAGGCACTATAATAATAATAAAGCAATATCATTAAAAAAATTTTTCATAATTTTATATATATATGCATAATTACTATATTTTGAAAAATGAAATTGTTTCAAGAAAACTTAAAAATTTGTATAATGAAAAACTAATGAACAAAGTTTTTGAGGATAATTTTATTAAATATATCATACAAATATTATAAATCATTATGAATATATTACATATTATACATAGACCAAAAAAAAAAA